CGCCAATATGTCTGGGCCCACGATATGATTACTCACTCACCTTGCAGCCATCCGTTGACAGGTGCTACTAACACAAATGGTTGACAGGGGTGTCTGTACAGAGAGCGCTAAACGAAAACCAAGCAAACAAGATAGCCAAGGTCGCACAATCGCTAAAGGACTTTTATCGACTGTATATACGTTATAGAAACGATAATAATCGTTTGGCAAGAGTTTTAAAATTACCATAACTGAATATATAATACGTATATCAAACACTTATAACTAGTGTACGCAGTATAATCATAACTGAATATATAATACGTATATCAAACACTTATAACTAGTGTACACAGTATAAAAAAAAGTGTTCGCCACTCACGCAGAAATGTCTCATGTATTTTGGTATTTTCAAATGAATTATACAGCCAGGTCAGAGACTTCAGGATTTAGACATGACCATCCCTAATTTATAATTATTGACCTGAGAGAGAGAGAGAAAGAAATGGCAACCGTTTAACATAAATGGCCGCCTTTATGGTTACTCTTATAGTAGTAATTAGAAAGTGCCTTATTAGCAAACGCTAGGGGGCTAGCCCATTAGTTCAGTTGGTAGAGCACTCGCCTCGTGTGCGAAAGGCCTCGAGCTTATCCAAATCCGAAGCGAGGAATTATATATACGTAAGTCTTAACCGAATAACAGGATTGACTGTTACTCTGTTAACGCACTCACAGCTGAAACACGGCCTCAGTCTATAACAACATGGATCTATATTTTAGACCGCAGAAAGCGATTTAAAAACTAATTTCGACGCTGGAGGAAGTGGAAGATAAAACAATTCTAATTCTGGTCGAAACTTTTCATTAACATCGACACGACAGGTTTTCAATACAGAGCACGTTCTCAGAGCTTATTACGTCCACCCCCCCTTCCTTCCACCTTAGGGAGACGTTACATTTCCTCAGAGCTTATTACGTCCACCCCCCCCCTTCCCTTCCACCTTAGGGAGACGTTACATTTCCTCAGAGCTTATTACGTCCACCCCCCCCCTTCCCTTCCACCTTAGGGAGACGTTACATTTCCTCAGAGCTTATTA